GTCATTTTAATGTATTTCAAGGGCACTAACAGTAATACGATCTCTGTGTGTTTGATTTACATGTAATCCACTAGATATTACATCTAAATCATTCCTTAATCATACTGGCAATTTTTTTCACATATTGATTTGCATGTAATCCATAATCGTTTTTATGTAATTTTAAGGGATTGACAGGGGTATGCTTTTTGTGTGTTTGATTTACATGTAATCCTCAAGAGATTACATGTATATTATTCCTCAGGCATGCTCACAAATTTTCCCCCACATCAATTGACATGTAATCAGTGGTAGTTTATGTATCCTCCCTGAGGTTTAGTCACTTAACTCTAAATTATAGTAATCCAGAGCTTAACTTACAAGAATTACCAAACTATAGGGTTTATAAATGAATTTTTCAAAATCTAATTCAAGGAATTCCAGTTTTCAACTGTTCAAATCTCAAACATGTTTTAAAAACTCCAAATCAGAGTTTCAAAAACAACACAGAAGCTTGGAATCAATTGGGACCTAAATAATGAGTTTTAAAACTCAAAACAAATTTTTACACAGAATTTAACACGTGCGCCACGGCCGCAGAGCATTGCATGAAATTTGATAGATTAGTGCTGTCATTTGACAACACGGGGAGCGAACTTCTGATATGTCCCAAAACTCCATCCGACATCCGATTGAGATTGTTTTGATGTCTACATGGAGCTTTCTCCTAACTCTAGCTAATGGCACCAGTTTCATGCTCAAATTCATTTTCTATCAAAAGTTGGATATTAAAACCCATTTTGACACATTTTCACAAAATGTTCCTAAATGGGATGTCCCAACTCAACCACACGTGCTAATAGCCTATACCAACCCTCCGACCACACTCAATGAACTCTTACAGACTCGTGCAACACACCACACATAACCAAAAATGCTTGTTTTACAAAATCACTAGTCAACCCTAATTTTTACAAAAAATAGAAGGGGAGGAAAGGTTGCATAAAATCAACCACTTCATTCATATTTCTCAAAAATACATATATTCATACTTGTACAAGTATTTTGGCCCTATCCTCGGGTTCACAACAAAAACTCACTAACCCAGGGCATAAAATACACTAGTTAAACACAAAATCATGCAAGTAGTACACCAATCATGACAATTGCTCCTAGCTAGCAAAAACATTAACAATTACACATATAAACAACTAAAGAGAGACATAAAAAGGATTTACTCCACAAATCCCAAGTCTCTGTGTGTTTTCCCTGACTCAGATCCAATGAGCTAGTCCTTAAAAAATATTGAGAATTGAGGAGTGAGTACAACCACTCAGTAACCAAGTTACATATTAATTATAGTAACCAAGTTCATTCAACCCTTATAGTTACATATTAATTATAAATAGATGCAAATAGGCACATAACATATATATCACATAATATTGGACCATGATTTACAAAACTAACAACCATGTGACCGGGCTTGCCACAAAACACTATATCATGTTGTTTTCAAAAATATAACTCAGGGTCGCAAAAAATAACAACTATGTGCCCTTAACATGTGCCGGACCATAAAACTAATAACCATGTGGCTAGACTAATATGCATGATCATGTGCCAACCTTATATCCTCATGTTACCTCCAACATGAAACCGACAGCTATCACGTGGCTATGTCCTTCACGGACTAACCCAGCTTTTCACTTGTGAGGAGCTACTAGGCCAGGATTAACTCACTCACTTATATAATCTGGTTTCCCCCAATATTAACAACTATGGGGTGTCATACCCCTAATCTAGCTTCCTCATGAATCGGTGGAAACTAGTTAGGTTCGAGTCCCTTGTAGAACAAGTGGGACAGTCCTAAATCAACCATAAGATAAGGGGCTACCTCCTGATTCCAACAGTCGGTGCCAAGGCTACTTACTGATTCCAACAGTTACTGCCAATACCATGTGAATTTCAATCAATCTACTCCTCTCTATAGCCAAACTCCTGCCAATGATCATGCTATGCACATTTCACACATAATATGCATTTTGACAATCTTTTCTCAACACATACACTCACATACTTCACAATTTAACACTTAATTCATCACAATTCTCCACCCATAGTAATAAATCACAAGTAATTTCACAAAACATCAAGGGTGGTAGAATCAAAGTTTTCTTTCTCAAAACCATTTCATACTCAAGCATTTGCTAATATGCATAATCAAATTAACTCACAAATTGCATTTTACAACATAATTAACATTTAACTATAAAAATTAAGTTTCCCTCGGTTACCTTAAACCTTTGAGAGGTCAAAGGTTTACCTCTCACTATAGCAACTTCCCCAAGCTTCAACATGCTCGAAAGGTGCCAAGACAAACCTCTCTACAACCAAATCATAAGGATATCATCGTCATCTAGCTCTTCAAGCTTTATCAATATAAAAACTCCTTATACACTATTTTACCAACTCATAACCACTACCCATTCATACCTAATGGGCTCACTAGATTCCACTAATGCACATTATCATTAATAACACTTCAAACCATCATTAATGCACATTAACCCTCCCAACCACCTCATAAATAGCAATTTTTGGATATTAATGCTCCTATGGATCAACTACTTTCAAAATCATCAATGTGGTGTTCTAATATATTAAATCACTCCCATTAATCTCATTTTAACTAATGAAATCAGACCCATACTCTTATGGACTGAAAATGCATCTCCTAACTCAAACCCTACCACAAATAATCATAAATGAGAGAGGGAAGGGAAGAAGAAAGCACCATAATCTTACCTTGGGTGTTTGGGAGCTTCAATCTATCCACAATGGGGCTAAATTTCGTGTCCTAACAAAGCCAAAACCAAGTTTTTCATTTTCCTCCTCCTTTTCTCTTATATTTTCACGCAACTCACAAATCAAATTTATTAGATTTTTGGCCGTGCGCCGCAGCGCATGCTGCCTTTCGCCGCGGTGCATGGCACAAAGGAGCTCGTTATGTTCAAATTGTGTCTGTGCACCGCGACGGACCAACCACGTGCCATGGCGTGTGGCATAGAACACAACTCTTTACTTTGTCATTCTCTTTCATTGCTCGGGTGGCTCGCCATCGATTCAAACCCACTTCTAGGGCTGAAATCACATCAATTATACCAAGTTAAGTCCCTCTGTCTACACACCTCATTAACTCACTAACTACTCTAATTAAGTTAATAATTCAAGGTTAAAATTTTTCGGATGTTACAGTTTATATGTAAATCTTAGGCACTAATAAGGGCATCCTCTCTGTGTGATTGATTTACATGTAATCGATTAGAGATTACATGTAAATTATTCCTCAAGCATGCTTATGAATTTTTCCCATATTGATTTACATGTAATCCATAATCATTTTCATGTAATTTTTGGGGATTGGTAGGGTTATGCTTTTTTGTGTATTTGATTTACATGTAATCGACAAGATATTACATGTAATTGTTCAAGCTAGAAGCCTTGCACTCTAAGCTAGATCATTTGCACCCAAGCTAAAAGCATTGCATCGCAAGCTAAAAGCCTTACACCCAAGCCATAACCCTTATACATCAAGCCAGAATTCTTGCACCTAAGTCATAACCTTTTTACTTCAATCCAGAAGCCTTGCATTTAAGCCAAATCCCTTACACCCAAAATAAAATCCTTGCACCATAAGTCAAAATCCTTGCACTCTCTAGTTATTGAATTTACATGTAATCCTTCTTGTTTACATGTAATCAAGAGGTGTTGATACTTTCCGGTAACCTATCGATTGGAGCTCCTGCAAATGCATTGTTACCTATAGGAACTCCAGTGACTAGAGCTTTGGTGGTGCCGAGGCTCCAGCAAACTAATTTTGTGCCATTTTGGAAAAAAAAAATTAACACATAGTGGCATTCCGATCATTTGCTCAAAATATTTAATAAATAAAATATCAATTTTAGTCCTTCAATTGTATTTCTAGAAACTAATTTCCCTTTCAATAAGGTCTCTTTCACCAATTTTTCCAAATAAAAAAGATATTATTATTTATGTTTTTACTATCACTATTATTTATGCTCATGGAATAAAAGATATTGTCATTTATATTTTTATTGTTATTATTTACTGGTTATTTCTTAGATAATTTTATTTAATATATAAAATAAAGATTTTCATTTATTAAAAAATTATCAATTCCATATTTATTTATTATGTTTAAATTAAAAAGTGTGGTTTTAAATTTTTAATTAATTTTACTTATTCATTACAAAAAAAAAAAATTTCAACCCCACTAATCCTTTTTTTAAAAAAGAAATCTAACCCTTTTTTTTTTTTTGGTTTAGAAGAAATATAAGGTCTTAGAAAAATTTTCTTCATTCCCTGTACAAACTCAGGTTAATCGCCCCAGGTAGGGGTGAGCATCGGTCGGTTCGGTTCGATATCAAAATATGCAGAACCGATCAATCGAATAATACTAATAATTCGATTCGGTCGGTTAATTTGGTTTGGGCCTATTTTTTAAATATTAAAACAAACAAAACTATAAAATTGAGCTTTTTTTTCTATTCGTTTTTTTTAATATGAGTCCATTCTAATTATACCCATATGACATAAAGCCCAAATATTATAAAAGTATGGATAATTAAATAAACAACCATAAATAAACACTGATGATTAAATAATAGCCTCATAATCCAGTCACAATACCTACTGATGAGAGTGACTGATTGAAATGGGATTTCAAGTGATGTTATTATTTTTTATTCTTTATTAAAATAAAAAATAAAAATAAAAATAAAATAATTTATAAATTAAATATAATTTATAAATTAATAAATTATATATAATTCGGTCGGTTCGATCTATTCAATTTTAAATTTTACTAATCGAATTGAACCGATCAATCAAAATATTTAAAATAAAAAAACTGAATCGAAATAAAAAACTAAATAGATCAAATTAAATAGATAAAATTTGATTTAATTTAATTTGATTTTCGTTTTTGATTCGGCTGTGATCACCCCTAACCCCAGGCACGGGCATAAGCTGGATCAAATTAATTATACAGGACCAAAGAGGCACAAGGACCCGTGTAGGAGCTTCGGAGAAATTCTACAGCTTCGTTTCGCGGCAATAGACCAGGAATCAAATGGTGAGCTCTGTTTCGTTGATTTTCTCCCATTCACAATTTCTTCTTTGTATCTCTTTCCTTTTCTAAAGCTTTACATATCAGTCGGTCACTCTGCATACCAACCTCGGCGATATCAAGTGCGAGATCTTTTGCGACGAGGTGCCCAAGGCCTCCGAGGTCAGTTCTTGAATGAAAACTGTTGAGCAATATTTTTGTGCGATGCGAACGGAAACTACTTGGTGTTAGTTATTTTTCCGTGTTTTTACTCTTCCTTTACTTTGACCGCAAAATGGAATTCTGCCATGTTTTTCTGTTTTCGTTGATTGTTGGGGGGTTTGGTGTAAATTTCTAACGTTTCGGTATATACTTTAACCAGGAGTCATCCGCTTCAAGAGAAATTAAGGTTTCTGTCCTTTAAGCAGATTATTGACTATCTCAATCTGTGGGGTTATTATAGTATCAGTTCGGAAGCAGTATGTCTCATTTGAGTGGTTATTTCAAATTATCCAACTTGTTTTACTTCACGTACGATAACAATATGGATTCTCCAGACTTCAGCGGAACGGAATTGTAAATATAGATAGTATATTAGTTCTCAAGATAACGGTTCCTTTGACGATATATTTTGTTTGAAATACCAATACCAAAAGGGACATTTGAATTCTGTTGAAGATTAGAAGTATCCAACTCTATTGGGGTAGTCATCATACTTTTTGGCTTAGTTTCTCCGGGGACAAAAGCTATGACAGAGTTGATGTAGATCAGTTGTTTTTCACTTAATCGGTTGTCCTCTTACTTTTGTGGTTTTCTTTGCTTCATCGCCAGTTATTTGAACTCATTCAATTACAGCACATATTTCACATGGCTTGAGATCGAGTCTTCATTTTGAATTTTATTCCTTGTTTTCCTCCTTGGATATAGAAAAATAAATTTGATGATTGTGAACTCTTGAATCATGTGCAGAACATCAGTTATTGGTTAATATTTTAATCTAGCTGTTGTTAAGTCCTAACCATCGGGACAGTAATTAGTGATTTTCATTTGGTGCATTCCAATCCAGAATTTTTTAGCACTTTGTGCAAGTGGCTATTATGATGGGACAATTTTTCACCGCAATATCAAAGGTTTTATGATTCAAGGTGGAGACCCAACTGGTACTGGCAAAGGGGGCACCAGTATATGGGGAAAGAAATTTAACGATGAGATTAGAGAATCTCTTAAGGTTAGTTCACTTACTTGGCAAATTATCCTGAAGCCAGCTCATCAGTTTAATGTCTTCTTTTATCTTCATACCTGTCATGCTCTTGTAAAATAAAAACAGGGAAAAGTGAGGGGGAAAAAAAATAGAAATGGAAGTGTTTATTTTTTCTGGATCATACACACGAATGACTCTAAAGTTTGGACTATGATATTGCATGTTAAGTACAATGTGAAGCTAAAGGAAGCCCAGCCTGTTGTAGTAAAAACTTAGCACTGATACAATTTTGAGTTTTGTAACTTCTGAACCCTCCTTTTTTTTGTTGTGGAAAAGAATACTACGTTATCTGCCATGTTATTTACAATAATTAAGACAATATGTTGGTAATTTTTTTTACTGGCCTTTATTTTTATTCCCCCCCATCTGCCTTTTGTTTTTTTTTCCTTATCTAATTCCATTTTTGGGCTTTGTTCACTGTTGCTTTTTGTTAGAGTTTTATTTCATCAGGCTATTATTAGGTTGGCTATTTGGCTAGGAAATGGAAGAGAGCTTCTTCGTCGTCTTCTTGTTTTTTTTTTTTTTTTTACCATGGACATAGTATTAGAGTCACCCATGGCTGATCTCTCTTCTATTTGACATTAAGGCCAAATAACTGCGTTAATGATGAATCTTTTTCTCTTTCTCATCTCGTCATCTCAACTCTCATTTAACGTTGGCATGTACTTGATCTATAGGAGACACGCAAATGGTCTGGATTTCGTTGGAGGAATGAAGGATTTATTAATTTTTTGTTGGGTTGCTTTTTCAGACATTAGAAGCAGAAATGAGTATGGATCCTTTGTTTTTTCATAGAGCAGTATTATTTATAGTCAAGAGGGAGGGCAATAGAAAACTTAGGCACTCCAAATCATGCAGTGCAGATTTCTGTCTGCTTTGCTCTACTGGACAGAAGCTCCCAAATGAGGGATTGGGAGCAGAAAAACCAGGGCCGGCCTTAGTGTGAGCACCTAAGAAGCATCAATATGGGTATGAGTACTAGATATGGTGAGGCATGATGTTATAAATTTTAAAATCTTGGGATACACATGCATAGATACATATTTTTAAAAATTTACATATGTTTACAATTGTATACTTACACGTGTGTGTGCATGCAACAGTTCAACTAATAAAAGCATCCATAACAATTTCAAAATGTTATAAATAGCAAGACAAAACAAAATACAAATAAGTGTTAACATAGCAAAGTCATAGATGAGGATGAGTTTAAACTATTCCTCATCTCCAATGGTATTGCTAGATTCTCCTAAAAGTTGTTGCCCTAAAACTGGCTCATCAAGAGGCAAATTTGCAGCTTCAAGACTATCAACACCATCAAATTGCTCGAAAACTTCTCCATTGATATCCTACATTCTACTTTGTTTAATGGAATATTTTTTACTCTTTCTTGATAAAAGGTGAAGATTTGTATATGTAAAAAGTAAGTATTTTGCTCTTTTGAGAGCTATTTTGTTTCCCTCCTGTGATTGAATAAAAGAGTAAGTGCTCTAATTTTTTTTTACAAAAAGATGATAAGCATGGTAGATCAAGAAGTCTCAATGCAAGCCTTTGATGAATAGGAGTAAAAGAACCATAATTTAACTACCACTCTTTAGACTTTAAATTCCACCTATCTTGAGGAATCAAATGATGAATAAAATTCTGAACAGTCATCCATAAGACTTTGAATACTCTTGGAGCATGGTTGATCAAGAAGTCTCAATGCAAGTCCTCGAAGAACAGGGGTAGAATAACCATAATTTAGCTACCACTTTTTAGACTCTAAATTCCATGTATCTTGAGGAATCAAATGATGAATGAAATTCTGAACATTCATCCACAAAACTTTGAATGCTCTTGGTGCGACCTTTCTTTCCTTAGGATCATTAAAGTACTGCTTAGAGCACTTTTCTCTCTCATTTTACACTTCAACATCTTTGTGAGGAGGAACTTTATTGGGTGCACCATTAATCCATTGTGGTGTATGCTATCTACAACATGTGGAAAAAAGAATCAAGATTAAATATAAAAGTTTCATCAATGACAAGCATTGTAGTATAATTAACCTATGATTCAATGAATTGGCAAAACAATGAAAAGGTGTGAAACACTTTGTGCAATGATCAATAATGATCTTATAAACAATTTCATGAAAACTTGGATGCTTGGAAAGCAATTTCTTCTCATGCTGATAAATGGATTCCTTCATTTCTTCTATCTCTGAGTCCCACATTTCATAACTCAAATAAAGTGGAGGTCTATTTATATTAGCAAATCGAAGCATATCATAAATTGGTCTTGTGGAAACATATCTTGTTGTGAAAGAAATTGGAGCACTTTCTCTTTTATTCAATCACTATAGAGGAACTAAATAATTCTTACAAGAGCAAAAAACTAGTATTTTTTTTGGGAAAATCTTTGCATTTTATGAAAAAAGCGAAATATTCTACTGGACAAAGTAGAATGTGGGATATTAACGAAAACACTTGGGAGCCGCTTGATGGTGTTGATAGTCTTAAAGTTGTGAGTTTGTCTCTTGGTGAGCCATTTTTGGAGAAACAACTTATAGGAGAATATAGTAATACCATTGAAAATGAGAAATAATTTAAATTAATTTTCATCTATCACATTGGTATTTTGAAACGTATTTTGCAGCACTTATTTATATTTTGTTCTGTCTTGGCATTTATAGCATTTTGAAATTGTTAAAGACACTTTTATTAGTTGAATTGTTGCTTTTATGTGTGTGTGTAAATATAAATGTGTGCATGCAATTGTGCATATGTAAAATTTATGTGTGTGTGTGTGTCCATATCCTAAAATTTAAAAAATTACCACATCATTCCATTCTATATTTGATACTCATACCTGTATTGGCGCTTCTTCAGTTCCATGGCTTAAATTTTAGAATCTAACTAGCAACATGGGAATGTTGAATCTCTACTGTCCACCTTGATGGAGTGCTTGTAATTGTGTTTTTATGGACCTTGCTTTAATGTTTTTAATGACCTATTGTTGGCCATGTTTTTTGTACTGTTAGCCAATGCTTCCAATCTGTAGTTTCCTATTGTACTGGGATGAGTCAGCCAGCTATTTGTCTAGCAAGTCTCTCTGCCTTGAACCCTAACCTGTTTAGCCAAAATTATCATTATCATTGAGATTGGGAGGCTTTTCAAGCAGCTTAGTTTCATCTAATGATTGTTAAACTCAAGTTAACTTGTGGTAAACACTGGTTTGTGGTAAACACTGGTAAATTAGTGCTCCCACCATTTCTAAATCTAAGAGAAAATAACCAACTCATACAATTTAAGAAAGTCAAGTGTAATAATTATGCATAAAAATAAAAAAATAGACTAAATTATCCCTGCAATTAATGAAATAAATTTGTATAGTGAAAATAAACATTGACTTTGCAATTTGAGAAAAATGTAATAAACGCTTCTTAAAATTTGTAATTTTGCTTATAAATAAAAACAAAGAAAACTATGGTGGTTTCTCTTATATTTGAAAATGGAGTAGTCAGAGTTTATGACTTCAGTGAGAGAAGCAATTGGACTTTTTTTTTTTAGTTTGTGACTGTTGAATCACTAGCCTGCTTTTGGTTCAATGCTCTGCCCTTGCCCAAACTGTAAGTGAAGAAAAATTCTGTATGAATAATTGCATTATTTTCTGTAGCAACCCAAAGTTCCAATTCAAGCTGCAAAATGCAGCCTGCCTTTTTGACCTTTACGCTGGTTCTGCAGCAATTCTTTGGTTGTTGAACATTTGTTCTTTATTTGAGTATTGATTTATGTTTAATTGGATATCATGATGGTTTTATATATTGGGAGAATGACAGTTAGGTCCAAGAATATTAAATTAATAACGGTTAGGTTCCCGCTAAAAATTTTTGAAAAATAAGTTGGAAATGTCAGTTTGGATAATTGCAAACTCATGAGTTTCAATTGCAAATAAATATTTAGGTATTCAATGTAACTCTTAGATTATAATAGTAATTTTTGTTCGTAACTATTTGAATTGATATTTACATCTCATCTTTTAGAAAATTTCATTGGGATCCTGTCATTACTTCAACCGACCTAATTGTCATTCACCTTTATATACTTTACATAAGCTATTATGCAAGTACTTGAAATTATTGAGTTGAGATCACCAATGACTAGACAATTTATTTTGATTTGAGTTTGACCATATTTTGAATGCGATGTTACTTCGTTGTCTCACCCCATGCAAGATCTGTAGCAAAGCTAATGAATTAATGTAGCTTTATAGCTATAGTGAATATCCGATAAGTACTGAAATGGTATGGTATCATGGTGGCTTGCCCTCCTTACCATGATGCAAGCTTGGCTGGGAAATATTCAAATGACACTATCTTCCAACACAAGAATCGGATATTGAGTCTGTCTGCCCACTCGTAGCTATAGCTAGATAACAGGGCTTTTGTTTGCAACCCTGTGGAAATAATGAAATATGATGGTCTGATAGTCTTTCTAACTTCTGAATTTTGCATTTTCAGCACAATGCTAGGGGGATATTGTCAATGGCTAATAGTGGTCCAAACACTAATGGAAGCCAATTCTTCATAACGTATGCAAAGCAGCCACATTTGAATGGACTGTATACGGTGTTTGGCAAAGTAATTCATGGATTTGAAGTTCTTGATCTGATGGAAAAGGTATATTCTGTGTTTCGCTTCCAAGTTCAATTTTCTCATCAATTTTGCTAAAACAATAATTTGCATTGAAGATCAAGACGAGTGTGAACTTTTATGGTGTAGGCTTAACTTGGCTACCATACCATGTCTATATCCCCTCAGTCTTCAACCAAATAGCATAGGAAAAGGAAATGGTCGGGGGAAATGATAATATACTCATTTGTTTGTGCAGACTCAAACGGGCCCAGGGGATCGTCCTCTTGCAGAGATAAGGCTGAACCGAGTTACAATACATGCTAATCCGCTTGCTGGTTAGACATAACTCTGCAGATCTGCATTTTGTAAAATTTAATGAACTATTTCCAAAACCTAATCTAACAAATTGATACTGAAAACGGGAACCTAGAATTCAATGAGTGCTGTTTTTACCGTCAGCTGTTGTGGATAATCCTTTTGATGAGATGTACAAAATGAATCTCTACAGCCTAGACAGTGATGGAGGGAGAGGGGACGGCCCTATGAAGTTTACGAATTTTTCTTTGTTTGTATTACTGTTACATAATCCCATCATCCTCGTACCCGGCTGTGGGAGATTTATGCAGGCTTTATACTTTATATATTCTGACTCTAGAGGTTCTAGGGTTGAGAGCTATGACACTGCATGTTCATGGCTTATGATAAATGGGTTGGATCCAGATTGTTGGCCAGTTTAGTTATACATTTTACATTCCATTGAAAATTTTGCATGATTTCTTCCCTCACTGAAATTAAGCTCGAGTAGTACTCTTTCAAATCTTGTTTGAATTGAGTTTAATTTGGAGTTGGCTGGTTTTCAATTTCATGTAATAAAATGCTAAATAGGATAAACTTCAGGGTGTAAAATGTGCTTTACGAGTGTGCTATTCCAGGTGGGTAGGTTGTTTTTAAGAACAATCCAGTTCCAATCAACGTGTTAGGCTATTACATATCATTTAGCATCTCTCCCTGAAATATTTGTGACAGCTTCTTGTTCAAGGATGTCAAGGGTTCTCTCCTCTTTCTTCACTTCACTTTTCATTTCATGAGATTAATTTTAGATGGTTTAGATGTATTTATTTTATACAATTATCATCAAAATGTTAAATAATGAAAATAAATAAATTTAATCTATTAAAATTTGATCAGCTTATTTCAGAATTGTAGTGGTGTTCTCATTTCTAGTAATTTTAATTTTTTCCACGCTGAAGTTTTATTCCTATCTTTTATAAATAAGGCTCTTTTTTCTTTATTTATTTTTATTTCTTTTCACCTTCTATTTTGTGAACTTTTCTATTTGTAATTGCCTTGTATATAAAGAATTATAGTGGAGAATTTTTTTTAATTACTTTATAAAAGTGTGTGGATAAATATTTTTAAAGGTGTTCACGAGACAGGACATGGGACAAGGGGGATAAATATTTTTAAGGGTGTTCATGAGATAGGATGGGATTGGGACACCATTGTCCCATGTCCTGTCCCCAAAAAAAAAAAAAAGATCAGGATTGAATTTTGGTCCCGTGTCTCGTCTTATCTCAAAAGTCGTCCGTATCTCGTCTTATCTCAAAAGTTGTCCTATCCTGTTAGGAGTCGGGATGGTACCAGAACAAGATCGGGACATTTCGATATCTCAATAAATGGGATAATATTGAAAAAAAATTTGGATAATAACATTCAATAACATTTTAAATCATATAATTTATTGAGTTTAAAATCAAAACAATACAAGTATATAAATCACAACAATTTAAAGTTAATTATTGAATTATATTAATCACAACTACATATTATGCTGTAAGATTAGTAATAACAAGTAAGTGAAGCACAACATCAAATCATTGTTCTTCTACTTTAGTGGAGATGTACTGAGCTAACTACTTTTTTAAAAATAAAGTAAGAAATATGTTATAAATAAAAGTTATTAAATAGATAGATATAAGAATAAATTATATTAATATAATTAATTTATTATAAAGAAAGATATTATCATGTTTACTCCATGTCATTAAAATTATCAAGATAAAAAAATTTTAGTTTTAACTAAGAATTGCAAGTATTGATATTATAATTGATATAATTGATATAAGTATAAATTATATTAATATAATTAATATATTTAAAATAAAAAATAATATATATAATATTCGAGACGGGACGGGACGTCTCAATGGTAATCCCGTGTCTTGTTCCATCCCGAACTCCTTTTCTGTCTTATCCAGTAAAGTCTCGTCTCGATTATTTTGAGATCAGGATAAGACCCGTCCCGATATGATCGGGACAATACCAAACCAATCGGGATAGATTCAAGTTGAACATCCCTAAATATTCTTTCCACATAAGTTGACTTGTTTATGGAAGAAGGTTTAACTTGTGAGAGTTGCAATGGCATGAGCTTTCCCACAGGAGAAAAGCTCCTCAACCAAGAGCAGTGGTAGAGCCGACCGGGAGTGAGTGCAAGATAATTTAATAAACAAATTAATATTTTTTAAATAATAATTGTGTCAGGATTAAATTTGTAATAATATAAGTAGATCGATTATATTTTTTATTTTAAAAAAATTAGATTGAATAAGTTGATATGGTATTATATCTTATCTACATTAACGTAATATGTGGGAAAATCACAAGGACCATTGGAGGATTTTATTTATAAACAAGAATTAAATGATTATGAAATTATGCTGTAGGATTAAGAGACCAAAACGTAATTAATTTTTAGTATAAAAAGACAAATTGCCCCTTAGTTTTTTTTTATTTTACAAACTTCTTAGCCCTCAGTCGATGAAGCTCCAATGTTGATGGTCGAATTGGCCATCTGAGCTTCAATAGTGGTAGTCAAACTATTGTCGAAGTTCTGGTGCCAATCATTAGACCGACGAGGGAGGCAAATTATTTTTTAAGGTGATCAAGGTAGGGTTTGAGCGCACATGCTTGGTCACTAAAAAATTTATTAGCCACTAGGCTAATAAATCCTCTTAATTATAAAATGCAAAGTTTTATATATATGCTTAACTCTGTTTCCACTTTTCACACCAATATTTAATAAAAATTCAATGGTTACTTGTTATTTTACAAATGACTATTCTTAAACTATTAATGAGACATGTTAAAAAATTTAATATGCATAGATTTTTATAAATGCTTACTTGTTTTTATTATTAGGAATGACAAGTTCCCATTAGCAATTTAACAAGTAACTATTTGTGAAATAACAAGTCTTGTTACTAGCTTTGAAAATTTCTCTTAATAATTTGATAAGTAAATTTTAATAAAATAACAAGTTTATATAAACCTTTGACATATATGTTTTTGATAATAAAAACATGTAAACATTTATAAAAAATATTTCATATTAAATTTCTTTAATAAGTCCCCATTAATAATTTAACAAGTAACTATTTGTGAAATGACAAGCTCCATTATTGACTTTGAAAATATCTCTTAATAACTTGACAATAAAATTTTAGCAAAATAATAAGTTCATATAAGCTCTTGACATGTAAAATTTTAGTAATAAAAACAAGTAAACATTTATAAAAACTACTTCATATAAAATTTTTTTAACAAGTCCGCATTGATAATTTAATAAATAATCATTTATAAAATAACAGACCCTGTTACTAGCTTTGAAAATTTTTCTTGATAACTTAAGAAAATTTTAACAAAATATCAAGTTTATATAAGCTTTTGACTTGTAAAATTTTAGTAATAAAAACAATATTTATAAAAACCACTCCATATTAAATTTCTTTAATAAGTCTCCATTGATAATTTAACAAGTAACCATTTGTAAAATGACAAGCCTTGTTATTAACTTTAAAAATTTTTCTTGATAACTTGATAAGAAAATTTTAGCAAAATAATAAGTTCCTATATGCTTTTAACATGTAAATTTTTGGTAATAAAAATAAGCAAATATTTATAAAAATTAGTGTGTATTAAATTTTCAATGATAATAAGGAGACTTATCATTTTATAAATGATTACTTGGTAAATTACTAAAGGGAACTTGTCATTCCTGGTAGCAAAAATAAGTAAACATTTATAAAAACTAGTTCATATTAAATTTTTTTAACAAGTTCCATCAGTAATTTAACAAGTTGTCATTTATAAAATGACAAGTGATTATTAAACTCTTGATAAGTATTGGCATGAAAAGTGAAAGAAAATTTTAAAATATAATGGGATTTGTCATTTTATTTCACAAATAATTACTTATTAAATTAACAATAGGGACTTATTAAAGAAATTTAATATGGAGTGATTTTTATAAATGTTTACTTGTTTTTACTACTAAAATTTTACATGTCAAAAGCTTATAAGAACTTGTTACTTTGCTAAAATTTTCTTGTCAAGTTATCAAGAGAAATTTTCAAAACTAGTAATGAGACTTGTTATTTTATAAATGATTACTTGTTAAAATTATCAATGGGAACTAATTAAAGAAATTTTATATGGAGTGGTTTTTATAAATGTTTACTTATTTTTATTACTAAAATTTTATGTGTCAAAAGTTTATATGAACTTATTATTTTGTTAAAATTTTCTTGTCAAGTTATCAAGAGAAATTTTTAAAGCTAGTAATAGAGTTTGTCATTTCATAAATGGTTACTTATTAAATTATAAATGGAAACTTGTTAAAGAAATTTAATATGGAGTGTTTTTTTTATAAATGTTTACTTGTTTTTATTACCAAAAGCTTACATGTCAAAAGATTATATGAGCTTATTATTTTACTAAAATTTACTTATCAAATTATTTTCAAAGCTAGTAACAAGACTTATCATCTCACAAATGGTTACTTTTTAAATTGGTAATGAGAACTTGTCATTTTTAGTAATAAAACCAAGTAAGCATTTATAATAATCAATACATATTAAATTTTTTAATAAGTCCCATTAGTAATTCAACAAATAGCTATTTTTAAAATGACAAGTAACCATTGGCATGAAAAGTGGAAATAGAGTTAAGTATATATATATATATATATATATTTACACTATATAATTGAAAGGATTTGTTAGCCTAATGACTAATAATCTTTTTGGTGGCTAAGGGGATATGAGTAGAAACCTCACCTTGACCACCTTAAAAAATAATTTGCCTCCCTCTCCAGTCCGGTGATCGGCACCAAAGCTCCGACGAGGGTCCGGCTATGACTATTAGAGCTCAGATGATTGGTCCGGCCATCGGAATCGGAGCTCTTGCAGGGTTGGTGGCTGAGGAGTTTTTTGTTTTTTTAAAACTGAGGGGAAATTTTGTCTTTTCACACTAAAAATTAATTATGTTTTGGTCTCTTGATCTTGTAGCATAATTTTAGAATCATTTGGTCTTTATCTGCAAATAAAATCCTCTAGCAATCCTTGGCTGTGATATTCCCTAATATATATAAGTTTTTGAGCCTTTTTTTTTTGTTTAGTTAGGGTGCAAAACATTAAGAGTGGAGGATGTAAAGTTATAAAATTTATGTATCCTACTTATATTTTTTTTAAGCTGGGGGCATTTATGCCTATGATATAATTTGGCTCTACCATCGACCAGAAGTGTGGTAACTGGATCTTCAAGCTAAAATTTGAAATCTCCAACTTGTACTTTTCATTACAAATAAATGAAATTTACACTACAACAAGTGTTCTCCAAACATACACTACAATATTTTCCATTCATTTATTTACAAAAAACCAATTCCATAGACCAAAAAAGCCAACTTAAGATAGCACAACACAATCATAGATTCATATCAATTATATTC